CAGATTTACCATGATACGTGATGGTAGCGCCGACCGTCGGAAAATCATAAAAGCCGGACGCCCTATGACGACGACGGCAAATTCCGTTCCGTTTCTCCGTTTCCGGGCGCATTTTATACGGACCGGTGCATGACGTATCGCTAGAGAAATGCCGTAAAATCGGTAGTCAACCGCCCCGCTGAGATTCCGATAAGGTGAAAAGTCAGCGAAAAGCTGCACAGATTATGTGTTACCATATATCAGTGATTCCCAACCTTATTTATTCTACGCCCCCTTTGTAGATTTTCAAAAATCTCACGCCCCCCTCCACCTATAAATTGAAAAAATTATAATTTTTTTGTTTACTTTACATTTTACAAATAAACTATATAATATTCGGAAAGACTACTTTTTTATTGATGATAATAATTATAAAATATAAATAATTGTAGATAATATAGTATTATAGTGGAATTTTAAATATAATAAAATTTGATAAATAAAAATTTTACTTTGTGATAATTGCTTGCGCCTCCCCAGCGATGTGTATACGCCTCCCAAGGGGGGCTCGCCCCCAGGTTGGGAACCACTGCCATATATGTACCAATACTCTAAATCATAATATTCGGTCAATCAAAGTTGGTTATGGTCTACACAGTCACCACCAATGTCTCGCACATTATTTTCCCTAAAAAAAACACACCACGTGCACTGTACCTACATTTAATCTATACAGCGCTAATATGACAAAATATTATCTTAATGTCTTAACTTATCGTAAATCTATTCATTGTTAATTCGTTGGTAAATTTATCGTGCGCGATATACAATTTAAAATGTCTTTCAATTTGAAAAGATGTTTTTTTTTCAGAATTTCAAATATTTATTTTACATATTTAACAATTTTTTGTGTATATTTTGTCTGTTTTAATTGTTAACTTAACAATTGTTCAATATTTCCATACGTAAGATTAATTTTTTGAAGTGAGACCGTGAAGTAAGGTAAATTTTAGTATATACTTAAAAGACTTAAGATAAAAGCAATTCATAGTGTATTATTAAATTTATTATATTAGATACCTACACATTTTAAAATTAATCGAATAAAATATTTGTTCCTACATTCCTGTTTTTTGTTATAATTATAGATTAAGTACCTTCACACTATATAATAATTATTATTACCTATTAAATAATATAGTCATTTCAATATAAAAAAAAACAGTCGACTGCAAAAAAAAATAATTATACAAAGTTATTTAGTTAGATAATCAATCATTAATTCAACCTAAAAAATATCAAATAAAGTTTTTCACTATAGAGGTACAAAATTTCATTACCTACTAATATATTATGTAGTAGAAATATTAAACGGTAAACTACTATAATACTAATTAATAAACAACGTTTAAGCTGTTGATTTAAACGAAATAATTGAACTGTTGAAACACAAGAGACCAGAAATTATACCAAAGGAATATAATATTCTATTAAAAATCCAGTGTACGCGTGGATTGTATCGTATCGACATTGGAATTGTAAATACACAGTTTAACCACTCTACCCTGTATGAAAGAATTGGTGTTTAAAATCAAACATAAAAAAAAAAAAAAACGGTTTACTGAACAAGATTCACCCCGTACTTTGCACTATCATAACTTAATATTTTAATCGCTGTCAGCGTCGAAAATGCTA